CCGAACAACAAGCTTCTCATCGACAGAAATAATTTATATGCACACTCTTCTTGTGTGTTCCCCTTGTTATCGGTTGTATTACTTTACGTTAACGTAACGTCTGATGACACTATTAACATACTTCCGAGCCGACGATGGTACATTTGCACAAAGATTAATCGGGTGGAGCCGGTTAATTAACAGACAAAGAAAGAACCGCATCGAAATCGACCCAAATTGACGCAAGCGCTTGTTTATCTGGGCGAGTTGCACTCTGGTTACAAACCCGATAAACAAGAGTCATGCAATATTTTCCAGCCGGTAGACATTTTTGTTTCGATGTTCGATTCGATATCTCGTTTTCGGTATCGAAGAGTTTCGTGTCATTTCTGATTTGAACTCATCTATAATGTATCTCTCTTATACTTTCCATGAAATTGAACATATATTTTATGCATTACTTGATGAGCTATTAATTAAGCAATTAAGCATTAATTAATTATCCCGTTGAAGTTTATCGTGTTGGTCATGTGTTATCGGTTACTGATGTGTTTCAGACTTGACGATTTTACGAAATTTCCGTCGCCTACGAATGAGTCAAGGAATCTCGTATATTTTCTCGTTTTATCGGATTAGTCGTAGTCTAATTCCACACGTGACTCCCAATAACCCACGACCTCACATTATCAGCAACGGTTGATAGCAATTAACAACAATAGGAGTGAATTTCATTATAATTGAAACGATCGCATTGAAACGCCTTACTTTTTTCGCCGCGACGTTCGTTAGATAACACTGCCACGTTCAATATAAATTCCCCGCAATCGTGCTCCCGGCATGGATTAAAAATAATATTTTATCAATGATAATTACTGGGAAACGTGCTCACTTCACAGTGGTTCTTCGACTTCATTCGCCTTAACGAACATTTATATACCATTGCATCATTAATTTCGATGCTGAAAAAGCATATGTAAACTTATTGGTAAATAGTCTCTTCTATTTTAAATCAGAGAAGTGCGGTTAGAGGTTGCGCATGCGTTGTAACGTTCTCAATTGAACCTGCACCGGCAAGCAATACTCACGCGAGAGGAGAACCTTTCGAATTTCGTGGGACTAAATACGATACTAAATAAACACAACAGGGACAAGAAAAACGTGAAACGTAGATCAAGTTACCTTTCGATCCACCAGACAGTTATTTTAAGCAATCGTCAGCCAGTGACTAGACGCGACATGCAAACTTCGTCTGTACACACACACACACACACACACACACACGTGTTAGTCTAGCTGCTAGATTTCACGCAGCTTTACGGGTCGTTTAGGTGGACGTGTTATTTACCGTGCCCGCAGCCAGGTCGATAAACCGATCTCGAAGAGTCAACAAAACCGTACCCTTCCTTTCCTTTCTACGAAAATGTATCGTGAACGAGTTCACACGTTGGCCTTTCGATTTTCGACCAGGAGGTGCGTTCGTGTACCATACAAGACTGACAATTGGACCAGCTCCAAGGGCGTAACATGTCTCAATGTATGTAGCGTTTAGAAGATGCGCCACGTTAATTTTAATCGTGGTATCGCTCGAAATAGTACCGGGACTGCGCAATTTTCCTTCTTGAGTCACGAAACGTGAACATGCTTTAACCATGACGAAGTCATCAATCCAAACTTACAGACGATACACTTTTTCGACCGTTTCAACACTGTTTGCTTAGCCGCCAATTACTAATTATGTATACATCGAATCAGTGTACAAGCGTGTCTTGATAATACTTTATCGGTAGCTTAAAAAAGAAAACGATTGTACGCGGGGAATAGTCAAATTGAAACACTGTCCCGTCTGGATTAAGAGAGAGAGAGACGGTTCGGCATTATCTCGGTTGTGTCGTGTCCCGTTCAACGTGGATTCACGATAGTTTATTGTAAGTCCTCCGAACGACAAATTATGAAATATCATTAAGAAACAAGAATGCATCACTTCGAACGTGATTCTCAATTATCTAATGCGTGCGTGTATTTTGTACTGACTTTCTGACCTGCAAGAATAGACTATTTTTCATCGGATTTTTTTTTATACAGAATGTATTCTTCTTGCGTGATTTTGCTTCTCGTGAAATGTTTCGCCATTGAGCGACATAAGAATTACTTTACGCAACCGTTACATCATTCTACGAGTGTCTCACGCAACGCCTTTTCGGCAACACTGGTTTAGACATATTTCTTTCTGTAGACGGTCGTAAATATTGCCCTCTGTAAATCGATAATCGCGCAGCGTGTGTCTTCGACCTCCCACAAAGAAACGTGCTGTCAACTCCATGCTCTTTTTTATGGGTTCTTTTCTTATAGGTTAAAAGAGGAATATCCAGTTTGTCTGCTTGTCCTGTTCGCTTTTGAGAACAGTGGCGCCTCGATTTATCGAGAACACGCGGAGAGCAAGTTTATCGACGAGAGCGATTTTGCGTCGAAAAATTGATATTGATATGTTCCGACCGTACGCGTGTTACATCACATAAGATAATGTACAGAGAACACTCCTTATAATTATTTTCAACACAGGTGTGATAAAATTTCATACATACATATTTAATCTGAAATTACTCTTGAAAATTCAACCATAAATCGTTGAAATTTATAAGTCGATAGCTCGATATGACGTTATCGAAATACTTCAAATTAACAAAAAACATTGAAATTCTTGAATATAATATTCGAAACACAAACATCGGTCTCCCGATGCAATTGTAAATTATCACAAACTTCCAAGCTTCTATTTACTAGGAAAATTTGATAGAAATAAAGAATTTCGATGCGTCAAGTGCATAGATCAGAAAATATTGTCTGCCAGTACGGAAAGTTTTCGATCTAATGTAAACCTAACCTCTTGTGTAAAGGTTTATCTCGATTCGATTGTGTCGTTTACACACTGTTGCATTCTTTTTCTGCGCAATCGCCAACGACTCACTCGAATTTTTTTTCCCTCTCAAATTAATATCAGTTGTTGGCTGAACAACAATTATTGTGCAAGAAATCGTAAAAGTTCGACCATTCAATAATAGCTGGAAAATTTTGTTCCGGGATACCGGAAATATTGTCCATGGGTTCACAAGTTAACGAGGAACCGAGTGTTCGTCAATGTAAATAACAGACACGTGTAAAAATCGACGTGGCACGAGCGGTGCAGCTCTAACAAGCATGGCGGCTCACTGTCAGTCGAAAGTGTCACCGTGGACTATGCAATGGGATGAGATAAACGTGTCACTTTTTTTCTCTCTTTTTGCCTTTTTTAAAGCTTTTTTTAGCAGACTATATAGCTTGACCCTGGCACCTCGTTCGCGTAACGATAAACAATGCTCGAGAAACGTTCGCTTTGACCTCGACCCTTTGTTATTCGTGACACTCGCAGACGTCGTTATATGCAAAACGTTTCTCCTATAATGTACTCTTTTTTTTTCCCTTTTTTTTTGAATTTTAATAATTAATACATTTTGCTCCACATTTGTCACGTACGAACTTCGCTTAACCGTCGGCCAAAATCGCTGTAATCCACTTTAAAACGACGCTTTAGGAAAATTGTTATAACTGAATAAGTAATTTATTGTAATTATAAAATTTGTTGTATGTTATTGTAATTTAGATATTAGGTTATGCTTAAAGCATACATAAAACATATGTAAATATTTCGCACTTGCAAAACAGTTATATAATTAGGTACGATCAATTGTATTCAGTATTGATATTTGATAAAAAAAGGAAACGTACTTTTTACGGTGAAGTTTGTTGACAATTGAACGCTTAAACTTTCCTAGAATCGATGGTATAGTCTGAAGAAACAATAACGTGAGATAGAATAGGCACGTGATTTCCGAATGCATGTGCAGTACTTATTTAAAATCGAATTTGTTTATGAAAACAACGATATCTGTTGAATTTTTCCTCATAGGAACACGATAACCCTATTGTTGTTGACGTTCGTATCGATAGAGGAAATTTACTAGGAATAGAAATGGTAGTCAGGGCAATTTAAAAGTAGCTGAAACTCGAAACAGCCGATTCGTGATACTGCTATAGTGCTTCGTGTACCGCGTGCTTGCTTGGTTCCGGTCTGGTACGTGTCGAGTCTGGTTCAAGTCTCCCGAGGGACGAGAGAAGAAGACTATTGCCACATTTAAAAGACGTAATTCCACTCCGCGAGTAACATGACCACGCGTGTGTACACTTGACGCGCAAAACATTTCATTGTTGGTGGTGATGCTGTACAAAATTCTCATCGTTTAAGTTACAAAACGACATTATTCTGTGTGTTATTTTTTTTACAATCGAACGGTTAATTAAGAAGTTGAATTGATTTAATAATTGGTCGTTAAGTGAATATAGTGTTACGTTTATCCCTCTATAACCTATTTTTTCTTCGTTCGTGAGAAGACAAATTTCGGTTAATTTTTTTTCTTGGAAGAAGCAAGAATACATATGAAATATAATTACTATAGAAAAATTGATTAGTAATAATGTTATAATACAACAAATATAGTGCAATAGTATAACAATAAATAAATAAATACATAAATTCCAAGTGACACAGCGTTATAGAGGGTTAACTCATTGGAAGAACCACATTCACTGGGTGAGTACCTATCGAAACTTGCGAATCGTAATGTTACGTCGCAACAAAGAAGGGATGAGGGTTGAACACAACGCGTTGTTCTTTTAAGTCTTTTATTTCGCCAAATGTAGCGTTCCAGAGGTGAACAGCGCGATGCAATAATTGACGGACTGACCGATAAATTGACTGATTGACTGGGAGACCGGACGTTGTATTTTTATAGGGCTTAGGGACAAAGGAAAAGCTTCTGGAAGGGTCTAGGAGTCGTACTGTGTGCAAAGAATTTTATCATTGTTTAAAGCGCAAGGAATTTGACTTATCGTTTGGTAGACTGAGTTGCAAGAGTTGTGAGAAAAAGTGATGTTAGCGCTAGAATATCGATCAAGAAGTGGTTGGTTTGACTTAATAGTAATTCGAAGAATTATGTGTCACGATAATTTTTAATAATTTTATGGGTAATACCTTCCTCTTATTGGGGGAAAACCTTAATAATACTGGATTTACTAAGTTGAGTCAGTATTCCGTAAGCAGAGATAAAATATCATTTGGATAGATAGGTAGACTTTAGTCTCCTTTCTCTCTTTTTCTCTCTCTTTCTCTCTCTTTATGCTAGCTTCTCACGGGCCCTGAGCATTTGCAAATATGTTTGTAACAAGCGCGAAAACGAGCTATGGACCTATTTCTTCACGTGATCGAACTTGTACTCTCTCTCTCTCTCTCTCTCTCTCTCTCTTTCTTTGTCACACACAATTCTGTCGACGAAATTTTTGGCAATGAACCGCGCACGTTCCTGGCTATTAAGAGTTTGGCGCTAGACCATTCAAGCAACGAGAATTCCAGTTTCGTCAGAGTGGCCGTTAAAAGCTCTCTGCGAGGTGAAATTTTTGCGACCGAGAAAACTAGACTTTCGATGAACGACGAACACGAATACGAGTTTTAATTTACAAGTAAAATCTTCATGAAAACAACAGTGCTTTTTCTAACAAATCTTTATTTTTCTGCTTTTTCTAACAAATCTTTATTTTTCTGCTTTCTTTTTTAACGTATCGTTCTATAAAAAAGTGTGTGAAGCTCGTTCGCTTGGATTTTGTATTAACCTTTCGAGTACTGATTTTTTACTGAATTCAACAATGTTGCAATATTAATGATCGTAGATGGATTTTAATACACCGAGCAAATCATCGTGCATATTTTGGCACAGCGTGTGTGACGAGTAATTTTAACAAAGTTGTTTAATTCAACGAGTGAGTGTTTGTAACATACATATAATCTTTTCTGTTTGTGTAGCTATTTTAAGATTATCTTCGTTAGTAAAATTAAACTTTAGGCATGTTCATCAAATATTTATTTCAATCTCGATAATAATTTTTTTTTTTTCATTAACATTTATATACTTGATAAAATTGAAATGTACAAATTGCTAATTTTTTTTTTAATCAAATAAATTATTTTATACACGTTTCGTTCAAATTACTCGAATAGTTGATATTCTCTAAGTTAACTCAGACGATACAGTAGAGAAGAAAGAAAAAAGATATTCTTTTTTTTTAAATTTTTCATTCTTATCTTTTTTAAGAAAAAAAGAAATCATATTTAAAGAGAAAAAGAAATCATATGGAAAACATAATGGGAATTTTCTTTTGCAGATCTAAATGTGTTCCATAGCGATGCCAGCTGAGCTGCTTCTGGGGCATAGTCCTCCAGTGTACAGCTCGTTGCTGTACAGTCCTCTGGTGGTAACGGCACCAACGATTACCAGCAGGTCGGTACCACCCAGGATAAGGCCATGCCTGTCATCTGGCTCCTTGGCCATAGACAGTATACGGAACAATAACGATGGTGGCAACAATAAGCAGAAAAAAAGGGTGGTATTCGCGGATGACCGTGGCCGCCCCCTTACTCAGGTATATCCTCGAATATACTCGTCCTTAACCCCCGTACCCTTGCACAGGCTAATTGTGAAAGGAAATAAAATGACCCTCGCCTGTGAAGAGAAACTTGTTTCGACTTTCTGTTTATATTTCTACTTTCCAGTAATGCCTATTATTTTGTACAGATATCATTGTAGCCATATG